GCCCTGCAACCCCATCCCAGCCTAGCTCCGCCCCTCGGGCTCCAGCCACCGGTGCCCCCCCCCGCCACGCCCACGCCGTGAGCCCCGCCCCTGGGCCGGGCCGTGCCGCACCCGCTGGCCAAGCTGGCAGGAGCTGCCGAAGTCCACGATCTTGATGGCGCTACGCTTGGGATTGCAGAGCAGGATGTTCTCGGGCTTGAGGTCGCAGTGAATGATGCTGAGCTCAGGCGTGGCCAGGAAGAGCAGCGCTGTGCAGAGCTGCTGCGCCAGCTTCCGCGTCAGGTTCAACGAGACTCCGCGGAAGTGCGTGTTGCGCAGGAGGTCGTACAGGTTGTAGGAAAGCAGCTCGAACACCAGGCACAGGTGGTTCCGAAACATGAAGTGCCGCTTCAGGTGCACTGTGGGGAAGGAGGCAGAAATGGGCCGCTGGTGAAGCGGAGCCTCAGAGAGGGCCAGTGGCAGCCGGGGACACACGGTGATAGGGAGAGAGGCCACAAGCAGATCTGTGACTCTGCCGTGTGAGCACCGGACAGATAGTGGTGTGCCCACGGGAGGCAGCTGCTGGTCAGGGTGTTTTCATTCGGTCTGTAACTTGATTCACGTCAAGAAAAAGATTTTCTTGATTAAGACAAGTTCATTTTTTTCAAGTCTCTCTCCAACTTCCTGATAAATGAAAGAGAACGTTTCTCTTTGGTGCTGATGGGTCTTTAATACCCTTCGCCATTTCCTTAATTTTGTAACGTTGTCTTACTCTCAGTTCTGTTTATTTTTGTGGCAGAGGACACTCGCTTTCCATTTACTGTAACCATATGTATTTCAAGAAACACTCTCTCTAATCTACTCTTGCTTTTTCTAAGAGGAATCAGTGTGGGAAAGAGGAAAAAGAATGACACAGACGTCAGGAGTAAAGGCCCTGGAGTCCACTGCCTGGTGACATTATAGCTCCACTAAGTACAAACTTGGTGGCCTTTGGCAAGTGATAGCGCCCGAATACTTCCTTTTCTACTCCAAGCTGTGGGCCATGATGCCCCTTCCCCCAGGGCTGTGGTCGTACTGAAACCAGTTGATTCAACGTGTGCTTGCAACAAGCCTGACCCTTAGTGAGCACCCAATAAATTCTGGTCAGCACTATGCTGGGAATAGGTCAGAAATCATGAAGGCGGCAAGACAATCACTGATGTCAGGGAATTACAGACCAGAGCCTGCCCTGAAGACACTAGCCCCATCCTGTACTGGGTGTATGGCTGCCCCAGGCCTCACCTATGTAGTACTTCATCTCTGTGTCGTGCTGGTTCATCAGCTCTAGCAGCCGCAGCTCAATCTGGGCCTGGTTCAGGAAGGCCTTTTTGTTCTTGATGATCTTGATGGCCACCAGCTCCTGGGTCTGATGATCATAGGCTTTCACCACCTGCCAGGGCAGGACATGTCACAAAGTGAGGAATGGGGGTGGGGGATGGGGAGGAGGAGATGGGAAGGGGGATGGGGGACAGAACAAAGCACCACTTTTCTGTGGGTCAATACCAGTGGGTGCCCATGCCCCCCAATCCCTGGGTCAGGGTGTGCGTCCCACACCTGGCCAAAGGAGCCTTTGCCAATGAGTGAGTCAATCTCGTAGCGCTCCAGCCAGCGCTCGCCACTGCGCACAATGTAGTCGTGGTTGTCATCGTCATAACCATGGTTCAGGACCTTTTTCTCCTTCTTGGTGCTCGAGTCCTGAGGTGGCGCCTGCTGGGCCCGCCGCTTCTTCTTCGCATAGTATACCTGCCCAGCCGGCCAGCAGATAAGGACTGCTGAGTGACCTGTGCTGGCAGCCAGGACCCCTCAGCACCCAGCCGGGCCCCCGCCCACCTCATTGATGTGCTTGTAGGTCTTAATGAGGTCCACGGAGAGCTTGCGCAGCGGGGCTGAGGTCGCATCCCGAAAGGCCAAGGGCAGCCTCCGTGGCAACAGCCGCACATCAGGCAATACCTGCAGGGCAGGGCGAGGGGTGGGCACTGAGGACAGGCGTGCACTTCTGACCTCCAGAGGGAGAGCTGTATGGGTGGCTGGGTCATCATGGTTACACACACACATAGTTACTCGGTCATCATGTGATAACCCCACTAGGATAGAAATTCCCCAAGGGCAGAGACTCTCTGGTTCTTGCTGCATTTCCGGTGCCTGGAGCAGGACCTGGCACATAGCGGACAGTCATTAGAGATTTGCCGAGTGAATGAATGGGGAACTGTTTACCCCTCACCTTCCATCCCACACCTTTACTCCTTTCCGAACCTCAGTGGGAGAGACCAGACAGAAAACGTGGGCTCTGCCCTTTGCAGTCCTTCGCCAAGAGACCCTCCATTCTGGGTGTCCCATCTTGAGGGCTCACTTCTTGCCTTACCCTTGTCCCGTTGAGTCTTCTCATCCCTCACCCCCAACTCTGCACCATTTTTGCCCAGTGTTTCAGGATCCAGCACCCTTGATCTTCTACTCTGTCCCACTTCAAGCTCTACATTTCAGAGCCTTAAACAGTCTCTACCCCTAAATGTCTCTACTCTGCACCCTAAGGTGCTGCTGGCTCCAGGATCCTTTGGGTTCAACCTTCACCCACTTTCACCTCACCTCCCTCCCCCATCTTTCACTCTGGAACTTTTTTCCTTAGTGAACATTTATTGTTTTTGACGTGCCAGGCACTGTTCTCAGCATTTTATGTTCATTTCATTAACTTGTTTAATTCTCACAACAACCCTGTGAGGTAGGTATCATTACTGGCTCCATTTTACAGAATTCTGGAAAACTGAAGCAGGGAGAACCTAAGTAATTTAACCACCATGTCAGGATTTGAACCCAGGCTCTCTAAACAGATTCTGCCAGCAACTCCTCTATTATTTTCCACTCCAGATGGACCCTTCATGCCCCAAGGAAACTGTTTTGGGCAACCAAACTATCTTTCACTCTCCAGACCCTTCTGTCCCCAGCCTCCCCCTACCCCAGACTGGTAAGGAGCCAGCTGAAAGCATACCTGCGTGTGCTCCTGGGGCCCTGGGAAGCCAGAGAAGGGACCATGGCCTGGTGGGACGGCCATGGTGGGCTCAGAGGGCCGCAGGGGAGCGAGGCCTGGAGCGGGAGCCCGGCCGGGGGGCGCCTTCTCGCATCCTGCACCTCGGCTGCCACCGCCGCTGAGACCTGAGAGCAGGCAGGAGGCAGGGGAACATGGAACAAGGGGATGTATGGGACAGTACGAAGCAGGAAAGAGGTAGACATCAGAAAGAAGGCAGGGCACAGGGAGAGGAGAAAAAGAGCAACAGGTGGTAATGAGAAGGGACAGAGAGAAGTGGTGGGGGTGGGAGCACAGCGGAGTCCCTCAACAGATGATTACCAAATAAATGAAGTAGGTGGCACAAAGAGGGGAACATGTGAAAGGGAATGATTGCAATCCAGGCAGGGATATAGACCATGACAAGAAAGAACAGAAAGACACCAATAATTGGGGGGAGGAAAAGAAAAAGATAGAAACCACAGACAGCATAGAGAGTAGGATTCACTGTTCGCTTCCCATTTCTACTAATGGCCCTCCCCGACGCCCCCTCACACAAGATCTTGCCCTCCTGCAGTCTTCCCTGATCATCAGGATCTCCTCGTATCACAGCAAGTTCCCTCCACTTCAAGATCTACCCTTCCCAGTAGATCCCTCAATCCAGAGAGCTCTAGGATCCCCCCAAACCACATGAAACAACTCTGGGCCCCCTCCAAACCCACGACAGAGTCCTCTGCAGGCCCCTAAAACCACATCAGGGTCCTGGGGACCACACCAAGATTAACCTGTTCTATAGGATTATCTCCATACAACAGAGTCCCACCCCATGGCATTCCCATCCACCAGCCCCCACCCCCCAGGGGACCCACCCCATATCATGCCAAGACCTCTTCCCTATAACATCTCCTCCCACACCAGGGACCACTGCTCCAGGTAGTTGCTCCCGTGGCACATCGGGGCTCTTCTCCGTATTACTTCATGGTCTCCCTCAGAAGCAAGGCTCACTTTTCCTGATGGGAGCAAGGAGGCTTCTCTTCCCTCGCCCTTCTCTCCCCTACACTGGATCTTCCCCTCCTCCTCCCATCCAAGATTTCTACCAGGGCCCTTTCTCCAGTTACTCTTCTCTACACCAGGGTCAATACACAACTGTGCCAATTCCTAGAAGGCCCCCAGAACCAAATTCCCCAAATATCACATAGAGTTCTCCCCTCACAGAGTACCTGTCACACCAAAATCCTCTCCCCACAGGCCTTCTCCCATGGCACTCCCTTTCTTCTATGCCAAGCCTTGCCACTCCACGATCCCTCCTCTCTCTTGGAGCTCCCCCGCCCCTCGCCCGAAACAACCTCTTCCCCGGGGCCCTCCCACGGCAGGACCTTCTCTCCAAGCACCCACCCCCTACCCGGGTCAGGGCTGGCGCGGGGCCCACGGGGGGCTGGGGCGCGGTGGGGCCCCCAGTGGGGTGGGCGAGCAGCCAGCATGGCGGCGGCGGTGGCAGAGAGGAGACGGCCGCCTGTCCCGGCCCGGCCGGCCCGGCAAGCCCCGCGGCGGGGAGGGCAAGCGGGACAGGCGGCCCGGTGGGTGACAACAGCAGCAGCCGCCGCCGCCGGGGGTGGGGAGAGGAGGGAACGAGGGTCAGCCCGGGGCACGCGGGAGAAGGGGAAAGCAGGTGGACGGGGGAGGGGTGGGTTAACCCTCGCCCCGCCGGCCCCGCCCCGCGCAGCCACCCGCCCCTGGGGACCCAGGCGTCCCGCCCCCCACCCTGGAGGCCCGCCCCGGTCGGCGGAGCCCCGGCGGGCGGGGCCGGCTGAGCTGAGCTCGGCAGTCCGCACCTGCCATGGCAACAACCGTGCCATTGGCCGCTGCTGCCAAGAGCTCAGCCAATCGCAGCCCAGAACAGCTGTTGCTAGGCGACGACGATGCAGCCGGAGGAGTCGAGCCCAAACAAAGGGCGGGAGCGGGGCCCCGCTACCCCCTCCCAGCCTCACTCCCAAGACTGTTCCCTCGGGCTCGGCCCCTTCCAAGAATCCGACTATGAATAGCCAGGCACGGCCTGCACCTGCCCGCCGCCCCCCTGCCCTCCTCCCTCGGCCTCGTGCTAAGTCTCGCGGCGACGCGGGCAGGGCGGGTCCGTACTGCCCCCTCCCCGCGAGCTCGTGCTACCCCACCTGTAGCCGCGTTGTTACCTGAGGGCGCGGGCAAGGGGACTCAAGCTGCTCGGGAAGCCCGAGCTCAGACCTGCCCACTGGCTGAAAGTATCCGGCGGACGCGGCGAGCCAGGGCCCCGATTACCCAGTAATGCAACCAGCAAAATGGCGACCACAACAAACCGGCCCCCACCTCCCGCCTCGGGCTCCGCCCCCACTCCCCCCATTCGCTTCACCCACGTGACCCAAGGTAACACTCCGCGCCTGCGCGCAGCGGAGTTTACCGGTAGACGCGCACAGTAAGCTACCAACCCCGCCCAAACGTCGAAATCCGGGTTGCGACTGCGCAAAAGGCAGCCAAGAAAGGAACATGCGCACGTGTGACCGGATGAGCTCGTCCACCCCCACCACCGCGCCAGTTGACCAAGGGAGCATGCGCTCTGTTGAATGGAGGTCGCTGAGCAATCAGCAGACGGGAGCAATGGATGAGTCTTTTAATAGAAAAACACACGTGTAACAGTAGCAACACAATCTCTCGCAATCCAGACGGCGCTGGGCTTCAGTTCTTCACCTTGGGAGGTGGCCTGTAAGAGGAAGGAGAGAGGGGATTCAGAGCCTGTCACCATTTTCCGGCACTCCTACCAAGCGCTAACGCGCAGGGCTGTCTTGGTGGCTTCCAGGCCCCCTGCTCACCTGTACACGCCCACCACCACAGCGTGGTCTCTTTCGTAAGGCTCTAAGGTCAACTGTTCCTGGGGCTTCATGTTCTCCTGCTGCATCTTTTTCACTTCAGAGGCAAACACGGCCTCAGCAGAGGCTGTGGAGTCAATGCAGTTGGCCTGCAGAAGAGAGAACTTGGAAGTCTGCAGCAAGGCTTTGGGCTTTTTTTTTTCTTTTGCTCTTTAAACCACAGGTATTTGTTTTTTATTGGAAACTCAGTGAAACTCAGGTTTTGGGAGTGGAGGGAAAAGACTTCATCACAGAAATTTTCTTCAAGTTGGTTTGGATTTACAACAGAAGACTTTAACAGAGACCTATTTATCTAAAAGCTAGTGTTTAAATTTTATACCCAGGGTTGTTTTTGTTTTATTTTCTCTTTCTTTAACAATAGTAATGCTGAGAAAACAAAAACAAATGTAACAAAAGGCCAACAAATGGTGAATCTGGCTGAGGATCTTTATTTTAAAATAAAACGTTTTTGAAAACGCACCGAACATTTACCTAAAACTTATTTTCTACCATGCTGTACTAAACACTTCATATATATTGATAAATTTAATCCTTACAGACAACACTGAAAGAGAGATGACTAATGAAGAAACAGGTACCCAGGTTAGGTAACTTGCTCAAAGTCACAGAGCAAGCTGGAATTCAAACTCAAATGGTCAGACTCCACAATTATTCACTTGACCAGTACCTTCTATTGCCAAACCCAAAGCCTTTTCGTTTTGCAGACCTTTTTCATCATGTGCTATACGACTGGGGCAGGGATAGAGCTGGCTGGATGAGGCATCCCAGAATGGAGGCCTCCTCGTTTTGACTGACTGCTTGGCAGTTACAGAGAAGACACGACCACCCCACCTTAGATTCCACCAAGCCCCGTACCTTAATGGAAATCACAAAGTGTCCTCCGTTACGAAGGAAGGTGTGGGCATTCAGGGCTACAATCCGGGTCTGGTCTGGCTGGGCCACATCGGCAAAGATCACATCCACCATCGCTAGGGAGAAAGAAGTGGCAGTTACAAATTGGATCTGTTGGATCTTCTCGGCTCCTCCCATGAGGCCTGTGCCCTGTTACCAGCAGGTTCCTGGCAGTCTTCCCTGCTTCCAGTCTCACATCCCCCCCACTGATCTCCCTCCCTCTGCAGTACCCCCAGGATGGGTCCAAGAAACCCAGTCACACCATCTATTCATTCCTCTTGTAAGTCACGATTGCCACCTACTCTGTGGCCAGCCCCGGGCCGGGTGTGGGGGACACAGAGATGAGTCAGACCCAGACCTGGTCCTCAAGATGCTCCCAGGTCTTGGGATGGAGGGTAAACAGACACTCATCAAAAAGGCAAGTAAAGGGGCGCCTGGGTGGCTCAGTCAGTTAAGCGTCCGACTTTGGCCTACGTCATGATCTCGCAAATTCT